CGGGGACGGCGTCGACCTGGGGCTCACGCTGTCGCTCGACGAGCTGGTCAGACTCGCCACCATTTGGGGAGCACCGACCTGGTTCACGTACGGGACAATAAATCGTTGCTGGAACGGGAAGAACGGGGCGTTCAGCAGCTGCATGTGCGTCAGGGCCGGATGGAAGAACGGAGGACCCCTCCACATGGGGAACCTGGACACTTCCGGCCTGAGCAACTCGTGGGGAGCTCGCACGAGGTCCACCGGCCTTAGGAGAGGATCCTGACTGGCTCTGGCAGGCACGTCGGGCGTTCTTAACTGGTTGAGGTCCTGCGGCCTGATATCGTCCCTTTTCGGGAACCTGTCCGGCTGATGGTGCGGATGGTGGTGGTGATGGTAACTGTTCGCCGTCGTGGTGGTCGTGGTCACCATACCCACCACGCTCGCTGCACTAGTGCTACTGGTGTTCTCGTTATTGTTGTTGTTATTGTTCGCCACGTCCAGCGAGCCGAACGCCTTCTCGTACGCGGACTTTGGGTCCTTGATCAGACGCGTTTGAGCCTGGTGCGACTGTTCCTGAAGGAGGCAGTGGATTTTGAACCAGTTCGAGCGGCGGCCGTAGCGGGAACCCGACTTCGACATACCCACCATCAGACACTTCCGCAGACGGCACGCCTTGCACGCGGTGCGGTTCTTCTTGTTGATCACGCACACGCCGCCGTTCTTGCATTCGGAGATGCTGCCTAGATTGTTATAGGTGCGACCGAAGAATGACTGTGGAGCAGAAAAATGGGACGATCCCTGTTAGAAGAGTAGCAAGAATTTTATGTACAGAATTTACGAACATATTCGAATTGATTATACATCGCTAGAATCCAAACCATCGCATCTTAAGTCTGCTGTTATATGTATTATTGTATGTGTATTATGTATATGTATTATATGTATTATTGAAAGCAAAAGGTCGGAACAACCTAATATACAGTAACCTAACACGTCCAATAGAGAACTCGAGCACTTTCAGAAACTCGAAACCGAGGATCAACGTGGCAATCGTAACGAGGTTATGATGCACGCGTCTGCCGGCTCGAGGCTACCATTTTATTTGCATTCGCGACCGGCTCGTGAAAAGAAGGAGAGAAAGAGGGAGAAGAAAGACCGAATGAAAGATGCGAGAATATAAACCGGCCATTGAATTTTTCCGTCGGTCTGATGATCTAAAGAGAGCAAAGGGTGGATACTGACCTTGCAACCTTCGCACGTGAAGGCCCCGAAGTGAAAACCCGCGGCCGGCTCTCCGCAGACCCTGCAGAGCTGATTCATCTGCAACAAAAAGATGCGACATGTGGTTACGCTTCGGCTAAGAAACCGAAGACGCTTAGAACGCAGCGGTGATCATGCCGCGAGCACGCGCGCAATATGTGCCAATCATGGAAGAGTTTCTTGCTCGTTCGCTCGCGGCGATCACCAGGCGGAGAAAAATAAAAAGAATCGCACGCAAGACCCGGACGATAGGATAAGAAATACACCCGGTGGACGACGACACACGGTGCTCCCGCTGCTAGGCGATATTTATTTCACCAGACGAACGTTGGACACCGTTTAACCGCGTCGGATTAATCATTCGGTGTTTAACAAGCTCTTCGATACGACGTCCCGTGTGTACCGCGTGACTGCCATCAGTCGGTGAACGATTAAAACGTTTAAACTTAGACGCGTTGGGACGTCTATAAAAAAAAATTTTGATGGTTCCCCGTGATTTATGACCGATCGAGGAACAGCTACGTGAATGATGGGATCGATTCACGGTATGCCGATTCCGTTCGAATCCGAACCGCCAATCATCGCGCGGACGTGCTGTGAAGTTGAGAATCTTTCGGAATAATATGGAGAAAGGCACACCGATTCCGAACACTGGACAAATGTCAAAAATTATTTTTTTTTATGGACATTTGAGATACCATTGAATTTCAATGATATCTGTTTAGAATAACAAGTATCAAGTGGCACAACCATCAAGTAAGTACCAATTATGAAGAATAAATTATTAAGCACCATCTACCAAGTTATATCAGCTACAAAGTACCATACAAAGTAATAAGTAAAGATATAATGCTTGACAGTAATAGAAGCAGAGATTAATTGGACCAAAATTGAGACGGTAAAAAGACACAAGTATGAATGTATGATCTACTTGATTGTACCTTATAAATTACAGTCGCTCGGTTCCGAGATCGTAGCAGGAACAGATTTCATAATAAATTAGAGAAAAGGTAATGATGAAAGAAGATTTATGTACCTGCGGTGATATACAAGACCTTTCAGTTTCTTTAAATTGTTGCCAATACGATTTGCACCTAATTAAGATAATTTTATTCGGAAATTTATATCGTTCATCACTGTCCGCTAAAGCATGAATAGATACATATAAAAATGAATTTAGTTCGTACATAATAAATTGAGGCTGTCTCGACTGGTACGGTAATATGTCCAAATTTTTCTTCTCCTTTTTGCGTTAACCTCTGACAATATAAATCATTCATAGAATTTCATAGTTCGAAAATTAATCGATGTTTTATTTGGATATTGTGATGTATGAATCATCTGCTCAAATTATTCATAGTTAAAATGGAACATACAATTATGCCAGTTCCGTCAGACTTTAGATATTTCTTCCTGTGTTATTAATCACTGTTGACGGTGACGTCATTTCACGCTCGACAAATTCCAAAATTTTTGAAGAGTTCGGTGCTCTTTCGAGGAGTCGGCAGTCGGATATTCGGTCACATTTTCTGGAGGCACTTTAGGGAATTTCTATCTCCAGCAAAAATCCTAGTCACTGATCAGGACGAAAATTTGAAACAAGCCTTTAATTATTTTATACTTGTACCCTGTCATCTCATCGAAATATCGCCACATTCCAAACGAAATTATGACAGATCTTGTCAACGATGAAGCGTGAATGTATGTTACAGTAAATGCCATCGATTTCAAAAATATTTCGAAACCGTCTAGGACCTCTGACCCCAGGTTACAGCTTCTCCGCACGCACGCCTGACGTAATAATATATTTCGAACGCCCCCTTTACATCGATTGCCTCTCGATTACGAAATCGCGAACTAGGATACACCCTGTTCTTCGTGGTTCAACGGGCGATCTCTCGCGCGAATGCGTCCACGTACTTTGCCTTTCTCGTGCCGGTCATCCTTTCTCGTTCGATCGTCGTCTGAAGGATGCAACACTCTGATTCACCGCTAATGACTGGCTAACTAGATTTTAATATGTTTACGCTCTCTATTCTGGTTCTCACAATGAGATACAGGAAATATTTTATACCGCTTTTCCGACATATTTTATTTGGGGAGTTTGGGAGTTTGAGGTCCGAGGATGTAAGGTTGAAAATTTGGTGATTGCAAAATTATATAATGTAAAAATCTAGGCTTAAAAACCTAAACCTAATGAGGGCCTAAGAAATGACAATTCTTGAAAATGAAGGAATGAAGAAGTCCAAAAATTTAGAAATCTAGAAACCACATTTTGTGATCAAGAACTTGTAGAACCGTAAAATGAAATTAGTAAATTAGTACCCTCCCTAACACGACCACCAAGAATAGAAAGCAGCGATAAAGACACCGTTGTCCGGACAGACCCACATTGAGACAATAAAAAAGCGTAAAAAAGAAGCGTGCGTGCACGGCGAGACAGCTTGAGCGTAAAGGCGAATCATCAGGCGTATAACGCGAGGAAAAAGATCCCCGGTTGGCACGCTACTTTCATTTCTTCGTCGAGTGCCATTCGTCATCGGCATTACCTTCGCGCCTTTGCTTAATGAGACGTCTCCGTGGATGCGGGTGTGCGATTAAGTCGAAGAGGGTCGAATATCGCGCGGTCAGAGAAGTCGGAGGAACACGGTGAGATAAGTTCGCTCGGTGAACGAGCCAGGACGAGAGAAAACGGGGAGAAGAAGAAGGAATGGCGGCGAGAGGCCATCGAGACACGAAGAACATTATTTAGTTCCGTTGGTGCTCGACGGGCCGCCGCGAGTGCAGGGATTAGAAGCGAGGTGACACAGCCGCGTCATCTGTTGGACGTTTAACCTTTTTTACCTTCGCCAGCTAAGCTTTTGCTGCCTGTTCCCACAAGAAGCCATCATCGTCTCACCTAGATACGCGAATGGAGGAACGGGAAATCATTTTTTGATGCAAGTTAACCCATTAACCCTTCTCGATGTAAACATTCACCCTTTTGATGGACGTTAGGGTGCAACGTGTAACTGCAATATCTTACTTGCTTTTGGTAATTTTAATGGTATTCATGGACTTAACAAATCATCCTATAATAATGAAACCATACATGGTTCTAAAAAATGGTTTAATAACACTAAAATTCTTCGTGATCCTAATAAATGATTTTATTACAGCAAAACTCTTCATGATCCTACAAAGTGATTTGATAAAACCAAAATTCTTGATGGTCTTACCAAATGATTTTATTACAGCAAAACTCTTCATGATCCTACAAAGTGATTTGATAAAACCAAAATATCTTGATGGTCCTAATAAATGATTTTATTACAGCAAAACTCTTCATGATCCTACAAAGTGATTTGATAAAACCAAAATTCTTGATGCTCCTAACAAATGATTTTATTACAGCAAAACTCTTCATGATCCTACAAAGTGATTTGATAAAACCAAAATATCTTGATGGTCCTAACAAATGATTTTAGTACAGCAAAACTCTTCATGATCCTACAAGTGATTTGATAACACCAAAATATCTTGATAGTCCTAATAAATGATTTTATTACAGCAAAACTCTTCATGACCCTACAAAGTGATTTGATAAAACCAAAATTCTTGATGCTCCTACCAAATGATTTTATTACAGCAAAACTCTTCATGATTCTACAAAGTGATTTGATAAAACCAAAATTCTTGATGGTCCTAACAAATGATTTTATTACAGCAAAACCCCTCATGATTCTAAGAAATGATTTAATAACACTAAAATTCTTTATGGTTCTAACTAATACATCTACCTAACTGATTTAATGAGAGTAAAAATGTGGATGATTCTGACAAATGTTTTTATAATAATGAAACTACATGATCCTAAAACATGATTTAACAGGAAAATTCTTCATGGACAAATGATTTGATGATACTAAAAATGTACATGATTCTAACAAATGATTTTATGATAGCGAAATTCTTCATGATCCTAAAACATGGTTTGATAGTAGTAAAATTCTGCATGATCCTAACAAATGATTTAATAATAGTAAAATACATGATCCTACAAATGAGTTGATAATAGTAGAACATATAATCCTAACAAATGATAATAAGATTGAATTTAATGATTTCCGATAATTTATTGTGAGTTAAATCACGAAAGAAATCTTTGACAGTCACTTGTGTAAGACACTATTTCAGAAGGTGTATACAAATTTACTTTCATATTTTGCTTCATTGGTATCCTTCATAATAATTTTGCAATTTCTATCTATTTAACGTGATCTAATCCAGGAGAATATATTCGATGATATGTAATTGATATTTATTGAGAAATGTGAAACTTTTTCCAATGAGAACTTTTAGAACGTCAGACTCTTTTTTTAACCCAATCACATATGGTAACGATTTAAATTAACTTTGATAGCTACACCTCGATATTTCAATGTATCCATCTTCCCGTGGCAGAGAGACGAAGTCAATCATCCGTTAAACGCTGATCAATCCGACCTTTAAAGGATGTGCAAAATTCCTTGAGAGAAGTCAGCTGGAGAGATCGCAGCTAGGTCGAAAAACGCGTGGACTGAATAAACATATCGTGGAATGAACTAGAACTTAAAATAATTCTGCGTAGAAATCTCGATAAACGATCGCATATCTTTCAATCTGCTGTGTGCCTCAAAATCTTCTTTCGTTTGCTTTTCCGTAGTTGTATTTGCAGTGGTCACATATGTTACATATGTCACATATGACATAGGAACAAGGGTGCTAATCCTTGAGCTTCATCTTTTAATCACATATTGTATATCACTGTCTGAACATTAAAAAAACTTCTTTATGTTCGCTTTTGCATTAAATAATTAATTAAGACTGAATTGTAACGTCGGTCACATATGTCACATATGACGTAAGAACAAGTATACTCAATCTTCCAATACCATCTTATAATCCATTACAGTATGTTATTGTCTTAAGAACTTTCAAAAGTTCCTTTCGTTTATCCACTAAATAATTTACCTGAATTTGCAGCGTCGGTCACATATCTCACATATGACATAGGAACAAGTATACTTAATCTTCCAATACCATCTTAATTTACAATACTTCATTGTCTCAATATTACGAACCCTCAAAAGTTCCTTCCTTTGTTAAATAATTACTTCAACCTAATTTGCAACCAGTCACATATGACCATCACACACATGTGATTCACAAGTCAATATGTTAATTGCATTCATGTCTTACACGTCCGAATTCCGTGCAGCAGAGAACGTTACATTTCAATCGGTCCACAATTATCCTCAAAATAAAACTGAAAGAAGGCAAAATAAAAATGAGAAGAAATGAAAACTCACCACGTCGGTGTTGGCCGCTGCCGTGGCAATCGTCGACGTAGGCGTCCACCACCCTACGGTGGCGGATGTCGTACTTGTAATGATACCAACACCCGTTGCAGCAGGGATGGATCCGCTCCCAGCCAATCCTGCCGAGCTGGACAAATCGCCCACGTCCATTCGATGTTCTTTAATCTCTCGATGTAAACCGTTCGCGCCGGTCCCTCGAGCCGTCTGTTCCGTGTTCGATGTCGCGACCCAACATTTTCGTGCGTGTATTACAACCTGCTGCCTTCAAAATTCCCTATTGCTTCGTGGATTCTCACGGTCCCCGTCAGACGGACCATCGGATGTTCTCTTTTACGTCCGCCAACTGTAAGCATAAACAAGATTTTTTTAGTGGAATGGATTTATTAGTTGACAAGGTGCAAGGTTTTTATTGGGTTTTTTAGTTTTTAGGTTGGGGAGGTGGAGATTTGGGGAGATGGGGATTTGAGGAGATGGGGATTTGGGGAGATGGGAATTTAGGGAGATGGGAATTTAGGGAGATGGGGATTTGGGGAGATGGGGATTTGGGAAGATGGGGATTTGGGGAGATGGGGATTTGGGGAGATGGGGATTTGGGGAGATGGGGATTTGGGGAGATGGGGATTTGGGGAGATGGGGATTTGGGGAGATGGGGATTTGGGGAGATGGGGATTTGGGGAGATGGGGATTTGGGGAGATGGGGATTTGGGGAGATGGGGATTTGGGGAGATGGGGATTTGGGGAGATGGGGATTTGGGGAGATGGGGATTTGGGGAGATGGGGATTTGGGGAGATGGGGATTTGGGGAGATGGGGATTTGGGGAGATGGGGATTTGGGGAGATGGGGATTTGGGGAGATGGGGATTTGGGGAGATGGGGATTTGGGGAGATGGGGATTTGGGGAGATGGGGATTTGGGGAGATGGGGATTTGGGGAGATGGGGATTTGGGGAGATGGGGATTTGGGGAGATGGGGATTTAGGGAAGTGGGGATTTGGGGTGATGGGAATTTTGAGATTTGGGGATTTAGGGAGATGGGAATTTGGTGCGATGGGGATTTGGAGAGATGGTGATTTGGAGAGATGGGGATTTGGAGAGATGGTGATTTGGAGAGATGGGGGTTTGGAGAGATGGTGATTTGGAGAGATGGGGGTTTGGAAATTTGGGGATTTGGGAATTGGGGAATTTAAGGATTTGGAAACTGGGAGATTTGGGGATTTGAGAGCTGTGAATCTAGGGATTTGGGGATTTCTAAATTAGGAATTGGGGGATTTGGGTATTTGAGAATTGGAAATTTAGGGATTTGGGAATTTGAGAATTGGGAATTTAGGGATTTGGAGATTTGAGAATTGGAAATCTAGGGATTTGGGGATTTGAGAATTGGGGATCCAGAGATTTGGAGATTTGAAAATTGGGAATCTAGGGATTTCAAAACTTGAGAATTGAAAATTTAATAATTTAATCCTTAGGTAATTTGGAAACTTGAAAATTTGGACCTTAGGTAATTTAAAAATTTGAAAATTCGAACCTCTGGTTATTTTGAAATATGAAAATGTGAAAATTTCGTCAGATCACATATTATAACATTATCACACTAAATTTGTAACTATAGCAAAGAATCCGGCGGACAGAGTTTTAACCAGAAACCCGCAAGTGAAAATAATTGGAAAAGCAAAGAGTTTAACACAGAAATCGTGTAACCCAGAACGTGTTAATTAACTTCTCGGTGGTTGGTTAATAATTTTATGTTAATGACTGACGCGGATACGGTACATTTTTACTGTTATTCGAGTGACCAACAATATTATATCAGTATTCGATTTCCAACGATTGAAACGTTCTTATACATCTCGCAGTATATTTCGATAATTAATTTAAACGTCAAGTATTTTCTATCATTAGTTTCAACTTCGTCTGGATTGAAGAGCGTAGATAAATATGGCTGTAAATGCCAAAACTGGGAAAACAACTTTCTGCTCGTTGCAATGTTATTTATTGACAAAATGTATTCGAATTTGTTGCCTGTGGAAGCTATAAATAATTGTAATAACAATTACGTTTGTATTTAATAACTTTTTTTAGGTAGACACATTTTTTATCGATGGAGAAGAGCTCTCTAATAAGTGACACTTGCAGTCTTTCTTCTGTTATCAAATTAACATATCAAGGAATAATGACAGCATTAACCTAAAAATATTACTAATATATTTTTTTATAACGTAATTCTCTTTATGTAAAAATATATAAAATTCTCTGAATCTCTTCGGAAGCAAAAACTATTTCGATCTCTCAAATCTTCGGCCATTTTGTAAACATAAGTTCTATATAAGCTACACTACTTTTGAAGTTTCCAAAAATCATTTAACAAATTAACATGCAATCATTTAACAAATATACAATAAATTCAATGAATAAAAATTAACCACCCATCGTTATATTATTTTTTGCAAAAAATTAGTTTAGAATTCTCAAGCTCCTAAGCAAGCGAAAGCAGTTTTTGAAGCTTGCGAATCTCGCTAAGCTCGTTCGAGATAACATGTCGTGTTTACAACGGTGTAATGCCATTACCATGTTAACGGAGCCCGCCTCGCAAGAGCCGCATAAATACGAGCGCTAATTACGGTGTCGACCACGTATTAATTTCATCCGTGCGCGGGAACCGAACCCGTGTATATACGCCTGACGCGTGTAAGCATGTCCGCTTCCGATTAACGAGATTTCCTCTTCGACTCGTTCGAGGAAATCGATACCACCCTCGCTCGCAACTTTGTAACGCCTTCGAGAACGCACATCAAATTGAGCAATTCGCATCTGTGACTGAACAATGATTGATCATTTTGTGACTAAAGAACAATTGATAATTTTGTGACTAAACAATGATTGATCATTTTGTGACTAAAGAACAATTGATAATTTTGAGACTACACAATAATTGATAATTTTGTGACTAAACAATGATTAATCATTTTGTGACTAAACAATGATTGATAATTTTGTGACTAAACAATGATTGATCATTTTGTGACTAAAGAACAATTGATAATTTTGAGACTACACAATAATTGATAATTTTGTGACTAAACATTAATTGATAATTTTGTGACTAACCTAACCATTGATCACTTAGTGGCCAAACAACAATTGATCATTTTGTAATTAAACAACAATACGTAATTTTGAAATTAAAAAATAATTGGTAGTAATGTATATAAACAACACATGTGTACAAAACAGTAAGATTAATATAATCAAAATTCATCACGAAACATTCAGTCTTAAAAAATCATGTTCCACATTGCAGTTAGAGTTAACTGTAGTTAACCTTATCGTTAACTTTATCGCTAATTAACCTTGTTTAATTTTGTTATATTTAAACAAAAGATTGTAACAAGAGGACCTAAACACTGCATACAAATATTGAATAAATACTAGTGATTCCTTTTGAACAACCTATTATTTAGCTAAATGACGATTCTTAAACAAGATTTGTAAGGTTAGAATATTTTCTAAAACCGCCCTGCGTCATCAAAAATTATAAATTCCCACAATGAACGCAAATATCGAGTTAATAGAGGAAATTTTTTAAGTGCCCCATAAATTAACAAATACACAAGACCGAACTTATAAAGAACCATGTTTTCATAATAAAACTGAAGACCCAAAAAATTATCTACTAACATTTCCTGGAAACTCCAGACAAAAAAGAAAAGTTTGCAGTGAAACCCGCTCCCGGAAACGCTACCGTCTCCTGTATATGTCAAACAGACCATAAAAAAGAAGAGCCGTCACGCTTATCTGTCGCGTCGATTGAATACATTATACCGCCGAAACGTAGAATTTTAATTAAGCACCGGTCAAGATTGATTTCCAGTCGGACTGGTACAAGCCCGTGGAAAATTCGCATGATGCATAGACCGGGAAGAAGCGTTTTTCCTTTCCGATAGGACGGTTTCTCCGACGTTCTGAGTAACGAGAAACACCGGGGACGCTAAATTTTATCGTCGGACGTCTTTCTCGAGTAATGACAAATTAATTAAGCAGCCGTATCGTCGCGGAATACCGGTTCGCCTGCGAACGGATCGTCGCCTTCGCGCGGCTCCTATAAATCCCTGTTTCTACGGGCAAACGTTCCCGTTTAGTGCGGGAAATATAACGCGACGAAATGAATCTCCCGCGGTCGCCGGCTAACCATGAATAACCCGAACATTATAATATTATTTCAACCTAACGACGAAAGCGTCGGCTCGTTTAGCGTCAACAGATAACGCGGGTAATTAACTGATTCCCCCGGCCACGATTAATTAGCCGATTAAATTGTTGCGGTGGTTCACACTGGGGAACGATAAGGAGCTTGTTCGGTGTCGTTGCGCAATCTAAGCTCGATTCACTAACCTCTGGCAATTATGATATTGTAATTCATGATTGAGAAAATGGCGAAGGGAAGGTAGTTGATTTTTGGCGAATTTTATTGTTGGTAGTTTGGGAGATTGGGAGAGATTTGATTTGGTTGGGGTTTTGGAAATTTGGGGATTTGGGGTTTGGGGGTTTGAGGAGGTGGGGATTTTGGTATTGGGGAAGTTGAGAAGTTGGGGATTTGAGGAGTTGGGGATTTGAGAAATTGGGGATTTGAGAAGTTGGGGATTTGAGAAGATGGGGATTTGAGAAGTTGGGGATTTGAGGATTTGGGAATTTGAGAATTTGGGAATTTGAGAGTTTCAGAATTTGAGAAATTGGGAATTTGGGAAGTTGGGAATTTGGGAAGTTGGGAATTTGGGAAGTTGGGAATTTGGGAATTTGGGAATTTGGGAAGTTGGGAATACGGGAAGTTGGGAATTTGAGAAGTTGGGAATTTGGGAAGTTGGAAATTTCGAAATTTCGGAAATTGGGAAATTTGGAAATTGGGAAATGTGGAAATTGGGAAATGTGGAAATTGGGAAACGTGAAAATTGGGAAACATGGAAATTGGGAAATGTGAAAATTCAGAAATGTGGAAATTGGAAAATGTGGAAATTCAGAAATGTGGAAATTGGGAAATTGAGAACTTGGGAATTTAGAAATCTATAAATTTGACAATTTGACAATTTCGAAATCTTGAAATCTGAAATAACTCCACATCCAAAAACCCATAAAAAGTTCCACAAACGAACACTACAGTACCCACAATATCAATCCTACAATTCAGATTACAAAATGGCAGAATTGCGTAGAAACTAATTGGCCATTTTCCCTGCGTCATTTAACCTGTTAATATTCCCACGCCTCTCTTGCAGAACCAACGTGATAATTCCTGACACCTCCATCTTTTTTTCTACAAATTTGAGCCAGCATTTTTATAATTGAACGTTCAACTACGAACGAGTAGAGAAGCAAAAAAATAACGAGAGACAAATGAAGTTAAGAAGAACAAAGTCATGGATCGTTACCACGAGCGCAACAAGTAAGTCCTTGAAATAATCGCTCTTTTACCTGCACAAGTGTTACCGCGTGTGTTGCGAACGTAATACATCGCGTCACTCTTTAGAAGACTGGCTGGCAAGCTGGATTAACAGCATCTCACAATCCGTGTCCGAGGACTAAAAACGACGCCGCATTTCGACGACAGCGAGTTACATATTTCGATTACTCAAAGACTCAACTGAGGATTCAGCGTCTGTGAACTTCGACTTTTTTCTTCGTCACTTATTTCAACTTTTCTTTTTAACTCATTTCAATGTTAGAAATTAATTAGTGTAATTTTAACTATAAGATGTGTTACATTTTTAGAAGAAGAAAATGTGAGGTTAGGTTTCGTTCATTTTTTGGGAGAACAGTTTGTGACCTTCAGTTATAGATATTTTAATGTATCGATAATTAAATCTTTGTTTAAGAAGGTTGTCAGAAAATTATAGCTAATATTATACCACTAGTTGGAGGTGATTCTATTAATTTATAATTAATATCAATTGTCAATTATTAAGTAATAAATTGTTTATGAATATGTGATCGATTCAATCTTTCGATGAGAAATGTTTGATAGGTTTTAACAAGCAAATGCAACGTTAAATTACTACCTGTTCGATCACCATGACATCCATATTTGGGTGACATACAAATTAAGTCTTGTGAAGAACGTTCCTTATCAGTAATTTTATTAAATGATTTATTAAAAATGAAATTACTATTCTTTAAGATTTAGAGTGAAATTATTGGACTATAAAATAATGCAATTTTATTTATTCCTCTTAAAAGGATCTACTAATGTAATTTATTTCGGAAAAAGACTTGACCTCAACGAATTTCAAAAAACTTCCCAATATATACGAAGGACATTTCTGCCATAAACAAGTGCAATTTTGTGGTCATCGAAAAAATTCGTCTACATAATTCCATCAGAATTGTTTATCAAACCCGCACAAATTCGAAAAATCCCAATGTCGATGGAAATCCCATTGACAAACATCGTAAACAGGATCGAGCGCAAACGTCACATTTGACCATCTAGAAGAAACTAGTCCTCTAAAAATAGATATAACAATGGAGTATCAATAAGAAGCATAAAGCAAAGTAACACTTTCGTACATCTTTCACACGTTTCTTATAGAAATCTTTTTTTCAACTTTCCCAGGCCGTCACGCGTCATTAATATCCTAATTGTCCGTCAACTTTTTTCACCCTGACCGGTCATCATTCGAGGCATCGGCGTTTGCGATAATAATGATTGAAAGGTGAAACACTCGCGTCAAAAGTATCTCCATCGTTTTTTCCTTTAGCTTTTTTTTACTTTTTCCTATCACAAGCATATCACGATCGCTGCCAACCAATGACGAGCGGCTGCAGCTTTAATGAACCGGTTGTGAGCGGCACGTCACACGGATGTCATGGCACCGACTGCGGACAGTTGAAATTGTTGTGGCCGGGCATCGTGACAAATTAATCATCGATGAATTGGTTTGGACAGCGCGGAAATACTTTGTCGCTTTTTCATGTTGCATAGTTGCACTCTTAAATGTACAAAGTTGTACACCTTCTTTCACAACAAAGCGTTTTACGAATGATTTTCTACTGTGCTCACAATGGGTAGGGAAATCACAAGGGTAAAGAATTTCTGTTCTTTAAGGAGAAATAACGTAAGCAGAAACTTAGGGAGAATTTGTAGAAATTGCACTCATGCTTACATCACTATCACATATCATCCATAGATAGAACTTCACACTGGACAGATAGAAACAGTGGACTACAGGGCAGAAACGTAAGAACAGTTCAAATGAATTTAATTTACATCTTTCACAAAGCATTAGACTAAAGCAATTAATTTTCAACAGCCTTCACAATGAACAGATGAAAAAATACTATATAACAAAAATTTTAATAAGTTTACTCCACTTGTACATCACTATCGTTCACAAAAGACAATTTTACAATTGACTTTGTTAAAAAATAAAGACTGTTAAACCTTCACAGTGGGCAGACAGAGGAGAGATTCACAAGGTGCTGCATTTTCAACCTCCACGAGATGTACCCAATAATTTAAATATAAATGAAACTCACGTGTACGTCACATATTTTACAGTCCACTCTCTCTTCCATGATCCGGAAGCTTCAAATTCAAAGAATTCAACTTCACACAAGATTTTCTGACCAGGCAGATTTTGCAGCACGCACAGTCACAACCTATCACAGTATCAATATCCATTCGCAAGAACTCTTCACTGAACGTGGGATGTAACACGTACCAGCTTACGGAGTCCACAGATCATCCCGCGTTAGAGCACACAATTGGAGGTCTGGTATCGCACAGCATTTCGAGCGTTCCCAGGAACGATGCACTCGCGTCCGCGTGACAGGATATCCCGTTGAAGCTCACCCTCGAGCGTGTACCCGCGAGGCGCGTACGAGCGGCGTCCACGGAATCCGCTCGTGTCCT